TTACATCTAGCTTTGTTGAATTATGATACATGCCTGGTCCCTGAAGGACTTTAGGGTAAGATCTCAAAATATCCTCTAACTATTTGTTCAATACTTATTCAGGATAGAGGCTGAAGGCAGTGGGGAAAAAATCCCTTGTGGGTGGAAGCCTGCTCTTTTCTACCACCCAGAGCAATTCAGTTCTGGTCCCAGCCTCCTATGTAATCTACTCAGCAAAACAAAAACTCTGTAATTACTCCAGCACTCATGAATTCAACTATTTATTGTTACTCTAGATCGTCTCAGAAGGTCTTTCTCATCAGTCACTACCATCCACCCAAAGAGCATATAACAACATTTTTCCTAAAAACACACAATATCCCCACAGAGCAGAATACTGGCAAGTGTATTACCTCCAACTTGCTATGCTTCCAGTGGGACTGTAGCACAAGAGACTAGCACCCTCCAGGCTATCTGGCTCTGTCCTGATGTTTCTAACATGTCAGGTTGGCGCTGTAGCCAGAGATTAGGAACACAGCCTAGGGGGCAGTTTTTGAAGAAAATATACTGAGAATTACATGTGTACGTAGATTTTGAATCACAAGCCAGCCGCCAGGTGGATCATTCAGAGTGTGAAACCATATCATGTATCCCAAACAGGGATTGTCTGATGAAGTGGGCATAAACACGGAGTCATACTGATGTGCTGGGTTTGGCACAGGAAGGCACAGGAAGACAGAGCAGCCCAAGCTGGGTGAGAAGCTTGGCCAGTGCAGCATCAGAGCAGCGGATGTTTTTGGTCTATGTGAGCTCTATTTGATGATGTGCGACTAATTTAGACACTTTTTTTCTAAAGCTTTTCAATGACCCTCTATAGATTTTTGGCATTTAGAAACTTCATACCTTTGTAGAAATCTCTACAGAAAATAAATCCATTTTTAAGTCAGAGAAACTATTGCAGCCAGTGACATCAACGCAACTGCTCAGAGCTGCTTTAAAAAACAACTCTCCCTCGTTAACAGCAAGAAAAAAAATCTGGCTGATGAAATGCATTGGCACAACATCTTACATCTAAGGCAATTTTTAAAAGTTATAATGAGCCTCAATGGTAGGGGAAAAATACTCATTTTTGAAAAAACTCAGTTTTAGGACCTAGCCATCTCAATCTCTAAAAGCCCACCTTCTTTTTTTCTTTTTCTAAACTCAAAACTACCTGTTTACAGTTAGAAAATCATAAAATCATAAAAGGACAGCAACCAGAACAGGCCCAAAACATTCATTTGAGTGCTGTATTTACTTAAAAAAAGCTGACCACAAACATATTAAGGAGCTCTATAGAAAATTTTAGTGGGACAGAGAACCTGAGTCCTCATGTAGACTTAATCTTTTCCAACTGCCCTCCTGGACAAAAGAGCTACCCTGGGCATCTCAGCTCATATAAACACATGTGAACAAGTCTACACATTATGCTATAAGAGTGTGGTTTCTTTTTTGTGTTCCAAATATCCTTAAAAAGTAGCTTTCTCTATTCAAATTGGGGACATTATAGTGTATGTATGGTGGTAAAAAAGTTGAAAACAATCGAGGCTGACCTTATGGCATAGTGGGTAAAGCCTCTGCCTACAATGCCAGCATCCCATATGGGCACCAGTTCCTGTTCCAGCTGCTCCATTTCTGATCCAGCTCCCTGCGTATGCACCTGGGAAAGCAGCAGAAGCTGTTCCTCTTCCGATCCAGCTCTCTGCTATGGCCTAGGAAAGCAGTACAAGATGGCCCAAGTCCTTGGGTCCCTGCACCCAAATGACCTCGGCTTTGCCCAACCCTGGCTACTGCAGCTATTTGGGGAGTGAACTAGCAGATGGAAGATCTGTGTGTGTGTGTGTGTGTGTGTGTGTGTGTCTGCGTCTGTAACTCTTTAAAATAAACAATCTTTAAAAAATTAAAAACAATAAAAATCTCCAAAAATGGGAGAAGTTTAAGCAAAATATGACATGTCCATATTATGTTTTAAATAATAACAGAAAATTATTGCTCACTTTAAGGCAAAAAAGTCTGTGTCATGCAAATTGTAAGAGAGTATGTCACAACCAGTTACGTATTATAAAAAGCACTGCTAAAAATATGCTAAATGTTTAGTGTGTCCTCAAGGTGGTGAGAGAGGGGCAATGTTTTTCTTTATAAAATTCACCATTTTAATTTTATAAATACGCTATTTTTGTCATGAAGAAAAATTAAGCAATACGAGGGTGACTTTTCTGCAATATTGCAAGGATTTTCCCCTTTTCCAAGCTTTTCAAAGGGAAATGTAAAGGGGAAAATATATATAATATATCAGCATTGTTAAAAAATGCTTATTTAATACAAATGTAGAACCAAAGGAAATACATAAACATTGAATATTATATGGATGTGCCTTAGCATAGTTCTTTCTCTTGCTTCTTAAGTTGGCTTCTTGGAATGCATCATAAAGGAGACATGGGAGTCCCATAATTTCCAAAATTAGTAATTTTTATCATCACCAATATGTCAGGCACCACACCCTCAAAAAAAAAAAAAAAAGACTGCAGAGTTATTATCAGCTCCCAGAAATTTTTAAGGAAGGGAATATATAGTCCAAGAAGGGATAAGACAATCAAAAAGGCCAAAATAGTGTCTTAGAGGTATTCCCTTGGTGTTTTTCTATATTTACTGATATCCATGAAACTCAACTGAATAAGGCTTTTCTTTCTCCAACTCCACTAATTGTGTAGTGGATGGCTAAGTCTCATTTCTTCTACACAACAAAATACAGTACTTTCTAAATCAAATGCAGACTTCTTGTATAAATACTTGCAAGTGATACTGTATTAAGACTCATAAAAAAGGATAACCTATAGAGTGAAATTTTAAGATAAATTCCCTACTGTGTTATTTACATTGTAAAAATACAACCTGTATGTACATTAATATTTGTTCATGAAGAATACCTGGAAATATAACTAAGATTTTTAAATATGGCCTAAAAAGCAGAGAGCAAATTTAGACATGTTAATGGTCATCAAGAAATTCCAAAAATTGTGGACTGACATTTCTATAAAATGTTTGACTACAGATTTTTTTCAAATGTTTCATTTTTTTTTCTTAAATTTTAATTTAGTTATCTGAGAGGCAGGGAGAGAGCAAGTGGGCTCCCATCAGCTATCTCACTCCCCAAACGTCTGCAACAGCCAGACCTCAGCCATAGCCAAGGCAAAGAGCTAGGAACTCAGGCCAGGTCTCCCACTCGGTGGCAGGAACCCAATTACTTCAGCTGTCACTGCTGCTTTCCCAGGGTTTGCATTAGCAGGGAGCTAGCTAGAGTCAGGAGCAGAGGAGCACTTTAACCCAGACACTCCGTTTTGGGACCTAGCCATCTCAATCTCTAAAAGCCCACCTTCTTTTTTTCTTTTTCTAAACTCAAAACTACCTGTTTACAGTTAGAAAATCGTAAAATCATAAAAGGACAGCAACTAGAACAGGTCCAAAACACTCATTTGAGTGCTGTATTTACTTAAAAAAAGCTGACCACAAACATATTAAGGAGCTCTATAGAAAATTTTAGTGGGACAGAGAACCTGATTAATGATTATATAATACATATAACACAGGAAGAGTATATAAAACTGAAAATATCACAGTAACGCCTAACACTTTACTAAGGCCTTAAATTAGCTAGGTCTTCACTCGGTTGCCATTCCCCACCTATTATTATCATTATTTGCAATCTTGAGAACGTGTAGCAAGGACATAAACAAAATATAGATTCAACTTTTAGGGGAAGAAGTGACTACAAATCATTAAATTTTGTTGCTAGCCGAATCCTCTTCTTACACTAATTTCCATTAGCACAATTACAATGCCAATTTAAAAATCCACTGAGTTTCTTTATTTTGGCTTGGAACTTGTTTGGAAAATTTCAGGAAAACATTGATGGTTTGCAATTTCTCTTTACCTCTAACCCTACCCTCTCCCTGACACCCCTCAACTCCACATCCTCTGACTCAGAGTCTATTTGTAGAGGACACCTGTTTTAAATGGAGCCACAGGAAATACCTATGTTGTCTCTTCATAATTAGACCCTGCATCTGGTTGGCTGAAATGTGATCATGATTTAAAAAAAAAAATACTGCCCACAGACTGATGCAACTTCAGTGTGACAACATTCACTGGAAGGCAGAGAGACTACAGTTTATATTTCTTTTCCTTCCATTAAGCCCTATATGGTACCGTAGGCAAAATAAATAAAAGGCCCAAACCAGATTGCTATTAAATTACACGGACGTGGGCTTCACATCCAAAATCAGAATCATTTTTTAAGCTGAATGCAATCTTGTAGCAGCAAAGCTGTCTGACATTCCTTCCTTATGGCTCTTTATTGATAATCCTCGTGTCCAAAATTCATATTCTATTTCCGAGTTCACATGCTATGATACTTAACAAGGCCCTTGTGGAACACCACAGGCCCCTTCAAAGTAGAATTTATAACTGCGTTTCAGAGTGCTCAAAAAACCCCAACTGCGTTTAAAATAAGCACCTGGAGGCTCCACGCACACACTCCCACCCGGTACCCAGCCCGGTCAGCAGCCACCACGGCAGGCAGCTCGCGGCGAGGACCTCGGCTGGAACCGGGTCCACGCCGGGCTCCACGCCTTCCCCGCCGGCGCCCGGCTCCCGCGCCCTGGCCCGCGTCCACTAGCCCCGGGCCAAGCTTCCTTCCCGCGGGGCAGACGCTGCCGTCCGCGGCCCACGGAGCTCCGTGCGCACTTCCCGAGCCCGGAGAAGGCTCGCGGAGACCGCCCGCCCCCTCCAGGGACGCCTACGGGGTGCCTCCCCCACCCCGCTCCCCAGGCCGGGCCTCCCGGGACCCCGCGAACGCCCGAGGAGGAGGAAGCGGATGACGAGAGAGATGACGTCACGCCGCCCGCTCGGCCGCGGCCCCGGGGCCCGCAAACAGCGCCACGCCCACGCAGGTCGCCCGGGCGCTCGCGGCCGCGCCGGTCCCGTGGGGCGCGCGCCCGGCCGCAGCCCCCGCCCCGCGCCGCCCCGCGTCCGCAGCGCCGGGTTTCCCACGGCGCCCGCCCCCGCACGCCCGGCGCCGCCCGCCCGCCCTCCTCGCGGCCCAAGCAGCCCAGGCCTCTCGCGAACATGGCGCTTGTTCCCTGTCAGGTGCTGCGGGTGGCTATCTTGCTGTCCTACTGCTCTATCCTGTGCAACTACAAGGCCATCGAAATGCCCTCGCATCAGACCTACGGCGGGAGCTGGAAATTCCTGACGTTCATTGATCTGGTAAGGCCGACCCCCCTCCCCTGCCCCTGTCAGCCCTGCACCCAGTGCCTGGGTGCGTGAGCACCTGCGTGCGCGCGCCTCCAGCGCCCACCTTTCTCTGGGTGACGGCAGGTTGAGGCCTGGCGGCCCCGCAATGGCGCGTTTTTTTTAGTACCCTGGTCACCTGCTCGCCAGGGGACACACGGAAGTGGGGCACAGCCAGGTGGTGGGCTCTGGAGGGGGATCCCCACCTGCTTCTAAGAGCTGACACAGGAAGATTCTTCAACTCACAAAGCATCCGACAATCCCAAGTGGCCTCAGACCCATCCGCTCTCTAGGTGCTCTTCAGGGCACCCACCGTGGGATAAAATCTGCAGCAAAGCCAGGAAACAGGGTGTTGTCTGTTTACTTGGAGGTTCTCCTGAAAGCACCCCAATCCTCCCAACCTAATAAAGTTGTCATCCGTGCACCTGCTCGTGGCCTCGGTGTCAGGACTTGACTGCCATCCTTTCCCCCAGAAACATGAAGGGAGAGTTTCAAAGTGCATCCCCAGTGTGGCTGTTCCAGGTTCTCTCTCTCCCTGTGTAAACCTTTGCAGTAGTTTGCATAAGCAGCTCTGATACATGATAGTCTTGACAGGTCCAGGCTATTATTATGATTATAATTTTAAAGCCTCTGCATCTGGTATTAAAAGGGCCCCCACAATCACATGAGCATAAGGCCCAATGTTGACATGGACTTAGGAACTTCTGGGTGAAAAGGTGACTTAAAGTGAGTCACACTCACATACACGCTGAAAGACCGACCGTCTTGTATGGGCAGAGGGCTAAAAACCAAAGAATTGAATTCTACAGGACTCAGAGAAAATGCCAAACCAATTCCTGGACTGCCAGAACTGTCCAAGAGTATACACAAAGTTGACTACACCAGCAAAATGGACTCTTCCTGGCCCTCCCTTTTCATGCAGGGGACCAGATACCTGTCTTAAGAGGTTTCCAAAAGCTTAGGGTGTCTCAAAGAAAAATAGGTGGTTTGAGAAATACCTGCATTTGCACTGTATCAGGCATTTTCAGAGAATTTAAATTCTTTTTTCTCAGCAGTCTCCGAATGAGGCACGTGGCCTTGGGCTTACAAGACTTCCCAGGATGTAAGCGTGTTGCAGTGGTTTCAGTTTTCATATCCTCAACTTCCAACTCGTTCTTGAAACTCAGTCTGAACATGGCTCATGCCTGCCAGTTATCCTTTCTTCCTCATCATTCATTCAGGCGAGGAGCACACCATAGAGTCTGTGCTGTCTTTCTGTCTGTTCCTTTTAGCATTCAGAAGATAGATGGCTGCCACCAGGACGATCTTCATATTTGATTAAGAAAGGAAATTGGAGTTGTTTTGAGAGAAACTCTTATTGGGTTGCTATCTTTGCCAGTTCTGTCGTGCAACCGACATCTTCCATAGATTGAAGGAGCTAGAACTGCAGCTCTGAGGTTATGATAAATTTGGATATAAAGCAAGAATACCATATACAGGGTACCAGAAATCATGTCGTCTTTCTAAGTGTTTAAACTATGTTAAAGACGTTTAGATGTTATTGAAAAACTTGCGCATAGATTTTTAGAGTTCTTTAAGGGCCTATGTGAGCAAAACTGCTTTTGGATTTGCTGCCTTATCCCATTACCAAGTCAAATCTCATGTAGAGCTGACCCATTTGAGTGTTGTCAAGGAGCAGTGCTGAGCTAAAATACTGATGGAGACTCCTTGGGTCATGGGTACTATGCACAGCGCTCAGCAGTGCCCCAGCCTTAGATGCTATTTTCTTGGAGCAGGGGCAGGAGTCAGCAGGTGAGAGGGGTATAAATGAGGGTGTTGGTTAACCCAAGAGAGATGACTGCTTCTCACATTGCCTTGCTTACTCCGTGTTAAGGACAAGACTCTCAGGAAACAATATACCTCTTGTAACTTCTGTGTGACACGAAACCACAGTAAAATCAGTTTGATATGCTGTCATATGAATTATATTTTAATATTTGATGACTGGATTTTCCCATTTTAAATAACACTAGTCACCATAAATATACCTTTTTTCTCTATTCCAGAATTCAGACCATGAATTCAAATTAGACACTTCCACTTTGTTTTGTATTAGGTTCAGTTTGTGTAGAATCTTTAGTCAGTCATTCAACTTTTTTACTCTCTGTGGCTCCTGAATGCAAAATAGCCATTAGCTTTATTTTCTTTTTTTGACAGGCAGAGTGGACAGTGAGAGAGAGAGAGAGAGAGAGAGAGAGAGAGAAAGGTCTTCCTTTGCCATTGGTTCACCCTCCAATGGCCGCCGCAGCCGGAGCGCTGTGGCTGGGGCACCACGCTGATCCGATGGCAGGAGCCAGGTACTTCTCCTGGTCTCCCATGGGGTGCAGGGCCCAAGTACTTGGGCCATCCTCCACTGCACTCCCTGGCCATAGCAGAGAGCTGGCCTGGAAGAGGGGCAACCGGGACAGAATCTGGCGCCCCGACTGGGACTAGAACCCTGGTGTGCTGGCGCCGCAAGGCAGAGGATTAGCCCAGTGAGCCGCGGCGCCAGCCAGCATTAGCTTTAGTGAAGAGCTCCTGTGAGAAAGTACATCTAAAATATACTCATAGAAACCCTCATGCTAAGTGTTACTCTTTTTGTCAGAGATGTACAGTCCTTAGTGCTTAAGCATCATACAGCTGTTAACCAACTTGTCAGTCTTCCACAATGACATGATAAGATTGGGTTACTATAATTACCTATTAAACTTTACTTTTGTGTGTTTGTGAAAAAACTGAATAAATTTTATTACCCATGTCTTAGATAAGTTTCATGATTCAATGCCTTTTGAAACCATTTTGAGATACGGTTTCACTTCTCAAAATTGTAGCAAGAAGGCCCTTTTGCTAGCCAGCTTGGATCATAGAGTCTGAGTGTTTATCCTGAAGGTCACAGGTGGACTATGGTCTGTGGCATCAGCTTACCACAGTGTGAGTTGGAAAACTCAGGCTAACAGGTCCAAGAGCTGCAGCTTGTATGGTACTGGCCTTTCCAGCTGTCCTTGTATTTCTTTTTGAGTATAAGAGTCATTGCTGTAGAATCAGAGCCAAGGAGGAGTTAAGGTCACAGATAGAGTTAAGGTTGCTAATCAACTGACTGTAACATAGGGAAGATAGCCTGGCTTATCCGGTTGAATCCAGTGTCATCACAAGAATCCTTAAGAGTGGAATAGAGAAACAGAGAAGAGTCAGTTGGAGGAAGATGTGATGGTGAGAAAAAGTTTCAGGGACCCACTGATGGCTTGAAGATTGAGGAGAGGTCCATGAGCCATGGAATGTGGGAGGCAAAGGAAAGGAAAGCAGGAAAGGGCAAAGAAATGGATTTCCCCCAAGAGTTTCCAGAACAGAGCCCTGCTGACACCTTGATTTCAGTATAGCGAGATGCAGGTTGGACACCTGACCTCCAGAATTGTACTGTAATAAGTTTGTATTGTTTAAGCCACTAAATTCAGGGAAATTTGTTACAGCAGCAATGGAAAACTGGTAGACTGGGCTTTGAAGTCCCTGACCTAGGATTTGCAACTGTTTCTGAACTTACATGAAATATATGCACTGACTCAGCTCATCTTTTATGTTTATTAGAGAACTTGTTAATATTAGCTTTGAACAAAATACAAGTTTTTTTGCATACTTTACCTCAGAACCTGTGTGAAGTGCATATGTGTAGCCACAGGCACTTGGGAGACTATATCAAGGCTGAAAAACATTGGAAAAGCTAGGCTTTTCCTTGACTGTAAAGTATTTCAGAAATGATTATTATACAATATGCTAGGCCAGGATAAGAAGTACTTTTAAATGAAAATAAGCTGGAAAGAAAGAAGATCTAAGTGAATGATGTTCACATATTTCCTTAGTATCACAGCTGATGAATTTTCTTCAAATGATGTAAATTCATTCACTTATTCACTAGCCAAATGATAATTCCCCAAGTTAAAGAAGAATCAGAAAAATAAAAACAGAATAAATAAACAAAAAGGGCAACTGTATTTTGAGGCCTCAAACTAGTACTTAGACTATAATAGGTATTCAGAAAATGTTTGAATAACTGGAAACTTCCTGTTTCAAAATTTTCATTGCGTGTTCTTGTCTGTCTCCTCTCAAAACATTCAAAATAATAGGTATTTAAAAAAATATATCAACCAAACATTATGTTTGATAAGTGTGGCAGGATGTTCAACAGATAAATCAGCATCAACTTAGAAAAGCATGAACTGGATATTTGTTATTAAAAATTCAGTTGATTATAGATGACCTTTTTCTTTTATTTTTAAAGATTGAAACAGAAATCTCAATGTACCATTTGCTCAAGTTTGTGCTATGCACCATTTTGGGAGTTAATTTCTTGGGCTGCAACGTTCTCGTTATTCCTCCTGTAGTGCTTTTGCATCCGTGCATTGGCAGACTGTTGTTCCTGGAGCTCTGCCATAGGCTTTCTGAATTGGTATCTGCATTTTATTTATTTTTTAATTGTTTGAGAGGAAGGGAGGATAAGAGACAGAGAAAGAAAGGAGGAGACGTATAGGAAGAGTGAGACAGAAAGAGCTCACATCTGCTGGTCGTTCCCCAAATACCCACAATGACCAGTCTGGAGCTGGGTGCCCAGAATGCCATCCAGGACTCCCACTTAGGTGGCAAGGACCCATCACCACTGACCCCCAGGGGTCTGCAATAGCAATAAACTAGGGTCAGGAGCTAGAAGCAGGTATCAAACCCAGGCACTCTGAAGTCAGACATGGACATCTTAACCCCTAGGCTAAATGCCCACCTGGAATTGCATTTTAATAAGATCATCAGGTGCTTCCTATGCACCTTCTTTGATAAATAATGCTCTGACATATGCTGTTGGAGGCCGTAGTGGCATTTTGGGAGTGAACCAACGGAAGGAAGACCTCTCTCTCTCTCTCTCTCTCTCTCTCTCTCTCTCTCTCTCACTGTCTATAACTCTACCTGTCAAATAC